AAAAAAAAAAAAATCTAGAATCGATGGAGGAGAAGAAAAAGAAGAGAGAGAGAAAAAAAGAGAAGAAAGAGAAGAGAAAAGTAAAAATATAAAATTATTATTTTTTCCACCAATTAAAAATGTAAGTTTTGTCGATTGATTTCATTAAACATTTATTAAAACTATTTTTCAAACTTAAAAAATTAAAGTTTCACGACTATCAAATATAAAATAAACTCAAATTTAAAAATTAAAAGTAAATATTTAAAAACAATAGATTTTGAGTTTGATTCTCCAATCCACGTGTATTAAAATATATATATAATTTACTTTGAAAAACCACATAGTTAATATGGTAATATCTCATAACGGTATGATTTATGAGATTTAACCCAATTATAAATACTAAGTTAAAGTTTTTAAAATAAATCTAAACTCAAATCAAACTATAACTTTTAAATTCATAAAATTGAAACTATGTCTGATTTAAGCTAAAATAAATAAAATTTAAAAAATTTATGGATGAAAATAATTATTTTTAAAATTTAAAAGAAAATAAAATAATAAAGTAAAAAAAATATTTATTTATTAAAATAATCCTTCGCTTTTTACACGAAAGAAAGAAAATGAATTCTCACGAGAGAAAGGTCGGGGTGTGATTGGATTGCGATTATATTTTCAGAAAGCAAGAAATTAGGGTTCCTCCCATCAGATTAGATGAATCAACAGTCGAAGAAGAAGAATTTCCGGAAAAGGAATTATAGTGATACAGAAGATGGGGGAGATGGGGCAAACTCCGTTAGTACCAGATCGGAGGAGGAAGAAGAAGAGCACAGGATGGCATTGGAGGAGGTAAAATTCTTACAGAAACAGAGGGAGAGGAGGGCCGGAATTCCTGCAGTTCCCGCGGTGACGATGCAGACCAGCAACGCCGGTGCCGGCGCCGGCGCCGGCGCCGGCGGAGGTCTTGTTAGGAAAACCACGGACACTAACAATAAAGCTGGTGGCGGCGGGGGCAACAAAAATGAAAGCGGTGGAGGCGAGGGCGACAAGGATGATTTGGTCCTTCAGGATACTTTCGCTCAGGAAACTGCTGTCATGGTTGAAGATCCAAATATGTAGTCTATTCTCCCTAATTATGTCGTTCTTAATAAAAGTCATTTTTGGTTGTTCGCATTTTTGAACCATTACTGTATTACCAACGCATGGTTACCATTGATAAATTTGATTCTAGTAATTGAGCTGGGGGATATTCGTCTATGTTGAAAGTTGGAGCTTTGATGACTTCTCTCTACAGGTTGATGTATATCGAACAAGAACTGGCGAAGAAAAGGGGAAGGACTGTAGAGGCTGTAGAAGGAGCTGAGAATGACTTAAAACAGGCAGAAGACGAACTATACAAAATCCCAGAGCATCTTAAAGTGAGTGAGTGGCTACTTTACTGTTTGTCTCTTCTCTTGCAGTTCTGTTTATTTCTATTTGGCGGAGTACTGCATTAGTTTTTTGTTAGAATGACTGAAACTAATATAAGAACTGCGTCCAATTTATATATGCTGAGGCTTTTTTACACTAAATCATTTTTGGGTTGTTGTCAGGTGAAAAGACGAAATTCTAATGAAAGTTCCACTCAGTGGACTACAGGGATCGCAGAGGTTCAGCTTCCAATTGAGTATGCCCTTTCCTCTCCTTTGTGAAAGAGATTAATTAACCGGTCCTCAAGTTGTTATCGCTTTTGTGTACTTTCTGCAATTTGGGAGCTATGGAAGGCATGGAATAGAATGGAGCTATGCTGCACCAGTTACTAGTTTGGAAATTAAGTTTACTTGGGAGCTTATGATTCCTTTATTATTAACTTGTTTTGTGGTTTATCTGGGCCTGCGGTACTAAATAATTTGAAGTGCCATATAAAAATAAATCGTGATCATCCATATAAGCATTTTTCATATACTCATAACTGTGCTGGATGAGGATATTATCAACCGACCGTTATAAACTGTGGGCATTGTCCTCTGTATGTGACAGATTTAAGTTGAAGAACATTGAGGAAACTGAGGCTGCAAAAAAGCTTTTGCAGGAAAAGAGATTTGTGGGTCGGTCAAAATCAGAGTTTAGCATCCCGTCAAGTTATAGTGCTGATTACTTCCACCGTGGCAGGGATTATGCTGAAAAACTTAGAAGAGGTGCTTCATCTCTTTATATTGTGTTACCTTTTGACACGACATTTCTCTCTTGTTTACCCTGGATGCGAGTTAAGGTTTTGGTGATGGATACCTATGATGTTAGTTTCTTACAAATTTTCTGCATTCCAATTGCTAAGAGTCTGGTGGTAGTCTCATCATGTTCCATATATGTATTGTTGGATTGCTCAATCATAAACTAAGCACCCCTTATATCAGGAGAAAGGAAGGAAAATGTGGTTCTATGCTTAATTAGATGTTATACTGTTTCTGACAAGGAATATAAAAATATGCAGATCATCCTGAGCTATACAAGGATAGAAGTTTGCAAGATGATGGTTCCGGCTCCAAACCAACTGATACTGGCACAGAGGCTGCAGGACAAAGGCAGGCCGCCACAGATGAATTCATGCTAGAACGCTTCCGGAAACGGGAACGTCATCGTGTGATGCGGAGATAACACACTTCTCAGACTGCTGTTTCTCCACAATTGGAAGAAACGTACTTGATCGATAAAAGTAGTATCAAGGATATAAAGATTTCTGTCCTACAAACATCCATTCACGACACAAGTCGGTCATCTCAGGTCCTCAGGTTGTAGAGGAAATGAAATTCATTCTTAGTTCATAGTTGTAAAGTCGGCTGCCTTAATTATGATTCGAAGAGACTTCTGGCCTAGCCATTTGAGTTTAGACGGAGACTAACCCTTTACTGCTACTTTTTCAGCCTTCGTCAAGTGCAGAGCTAGACCGAGAGTGCAAGGTAAAAGAAAAAAGAATCATCCTTTTATGGAGACATTGAGATTGCGAATATCTATGTAGGAAGATTATAGACAATATGTTTTTAGATAATGTCTTAGCTAATTAATTTCAGTTTTATTATCTTACTCTATACTATTGTCTTCTGTTCATATTGTGAGCTACAAAAGTATGAGACAAGAAATAAGGGTAGCTTGGGCATATATTTTTCAGAATATTACACCACAACTAGAGAGGCAGAGATTCGAACCTAGATGCGAAAGCATATAATTTTTCGTGGGATTACTTTGTTCATTGTTACTACTGCACCATCAATTGGGCAGGAGCTTTAGGTTGGTTTTTGAGCCATAAATGGTAATTAGAGTTAATTTGAAGTGGAAGAACTTGGAGCAAGGCCCCTTCTGATGGCTATGTAGAAGTATAGAACCCGTTTGGTAACGTTCGCATTTCTTGTTTTTCGTTCCTAAATTTATTAGGAAATTTAAGTATTTTGCAACTAATTTTGTTTCTTGTTTCTCACTTTTTGGAAACATTCTCAAAATTATATAAGAATTCTGGAAACAATCAAAACAAGTTTCTTGTTTTTTTTTTTTTCCCGTTTCCAATTTATTACAAAATATAAACATAAATATTATTTGATCATCTTTGAATTCATAGTTGTTTGGATCATGAAATTCTATTTTTCTTTATTAAAAATGAAGAAATAGAAACGAGAATATTACCAAATGTGTATATAATGTCCTATAAATTACAAATATTAGGGTGTCATCAAGTCAAATGCAAATAAATAAATATATGTTTTTAGTATAAAATGTGAGGATGAAGATCGAACTAACAACCTTTAGTCGGAGATATATATACGAATTACTATTGAACTATTTGCTTGGTAGCAAAAAAGTTATTTGATGATAGATTTTGTAACAGTATATTAAATTTGGCTTTTCAAAATCCATAAATTGAATTTTTACCCTTTCTTTTACTCATTAAAAATTTAACTCAATTTTTCATCTCTTTTATTTAGCCCTAGACCTGGAACTTATATGGTAATTAAGGTAGTAAATAGTAAACAAAAATGATGTATCCTTGCAGATGTACGGTATAGCAAAGATGATCTGTAAGGTTTGAAACAAACTACACAAACTCAATCGACACTTTTAGAATCGGGGGATTAAATTGAAATTGGGTGAGTTTGGTATATCTTTCAGTTTAAGCATTTGTTTTGCACTTTTTTTTAGTAGTCATCTTCAATTGCCTAAACTAAATTAGGTTCAAGTCTTCTTTCAGGCGCCTAAACTACCCTTATTTTTTAGTCATCTTTTGATTAACTATTCCTCCAGTGTTTCTTGAAAAAAAGGGTTTCAAAAGCAATTCAATTACTTCTTTGGAAACTCATCCCAAACCTACTATAAACTCAACTCAAATCATAGAAACTATGCCAGCTCCATTGTCATTTGCAACCATGCAAGATCAAAAAACCAAAAAAAATTATAAATAAATTCTTTCCATTTTCTCGCGCTCATCAGAAGAAGCAACTGGAATCCACAGCTGAAAACTTGCACAATTCCTAATAACCTAGTCTTGACTTAATATTTCTAAATATAGAAATTGCTAACGAATGGTGAGGGAAAAAAGCTTCATTAAATCACTTCGACCTAAGAAAAATTACAGTACTTTCTTGCATGCTAATGATTAGTAAGAGCTTCAACTACTCATCATTTATTTTCTTATTCTTCTCTTTTTTTATATATATATATATATATATATATATATATATTTCCGCTTTCTTTTTTTCTTTAAAAAAAATTTGGACTTTAAACCCGCCTTTCATTTCTTTATTATTTTTCAAGAATTAAAGTACATTATGTGTATTCTATCTATGTGGTAAATCATCAACTAGCTGTGGAATACTAAACATTATGATTTTGAGTAAGCAGTTACATCATAAGTTCAGAATTCTTTACAATGTGCTAAAAATTAAGTTACCATACTCCCTTGCTGAAAATTAGGCACTAGATCCTCCCTCAGTAGCAAGCTGGGATTTCAGAAACAGATTAAACGATGTCGCCCATAGCTCCTCAGCAACTTTCGTATTGTACGATCGTGCAGAGGATTTGACCGTTCTACCCTTCCCACCGAAAAAGTATACCCCAGATGTCTCCTAATATAATATGAACAAGAAAGTTCAGTTTAAATTTTAATAGAACCATCAAAATTTTCCTTCAAAGGTAAATAAAAATTCAACTACATTCATATCAGAGTAGGTCGCTAAATATAACAATTTCATCGGATCATGTGAGTTCGATCAGTCTACTTTTGATTAACCAGCAACTCATCAAAAAACTCGGAAAAATATAATATCCCAAGTAGGTAATCTAACATCCTAGGTGGGTGACAAGTATATACATATGCTGTTTAAGCCTATTTTCATACGAGAACCATCTGACCTAACAATACCAGAACACTTAGATTTTACCATCTTAGATAAATGGCAACCGTAGGATATGGACTCATTCTCCAGAAGTTCGTTTACCTATTTTTCATACATTTCCATGCCTCTAAGCCAATCCACAGTGGTTCAATTTTAAACCGTCATTAAACTATGAGTACAGACACCATCAACTTAAGACACCCACATACATACACACTCAAGCAGAAGAGATTTACTCACAGGTGATGCAAGGGCTGCATCCAAAATGGAGCTGACCCCATCTTCAGGTAGTTGTAGAAGTCTCAAAAGCCTCAATACTGTAAATGCTACCCAAGAAACATATAAAGGAACTTCTCTCGTGATGTTAGTTTTGACAACTCCAGGATCCGCTACACTTCAGAAAATCAAGGATTCAAATTGAAACAAAAAAACCCAAAAAAAAAAAAAAACAATCAGTATAACCGTATCAGAAGCCTCAAAGGCTAGTCGGTACGGGAAAAGGAGAGTAAAAGGCAACAAGGAAAAAGTCCCCATACATAATAGATACTTTATTGGGGGATTCATTCCCTAAGAAAAGTTTTCGGTGAAGCTCATAGGAGAACAGCAGTATGCATACTGTAACAGAAGATGGATAATGCTTGTCAGAGTCAAGAACAGTATGGTAAAGTGCTTCTAAAAGAATTAAATTGCTTACGTTTAGAATACTCATAGATACTAGCACATGGATACTGATCCAATCCCTTGAAGCACTTCCCACACACAGTATCCTCGTCAACCTGTATATCCAAAACTGGAGAACGCAATAGAGCTATTATTTCATTTTGGGGCTTTTGTGACAAGGAGCAGATTTTGACTAAAATAGCATGAATACTATTGATATACTTCCTATTGGGACATAGTAATATACTTTATCACATAAATGATATACTTTAGATTCGGTATGTCAGTCAAATACTTTCTCAATATTAGAAAATGGTATATTAGTGATATGTGAGGGGGAAAATTTGTCATATCTGCAAATTATCTTTCTATGTAACAAATTTGCAAATATGGCAACAAGTTTTGCCACCCATTATAAATCGCCATTTTTTTCCTTCTTACATAACACCTTTGATACAAAGTGGAGAAGTGTAGATAGCCTCACACCCGAGGTCGGTAATCTCACAAGGTAAAAGTTCTCATTGCATGGTTGAGACCTATTATTCATGAAAATATCAAGCACTTGAAGAAATTATATAAGCACTGCCCCTATATGTAAGAGATGTTGAAAATTCATGTCTACGTAGTTTCTCCAACAGCATTTTATTGGCCAAAAGAACACACTAAATAAATTAAAGTTTACTGAACTTTCATTTCAATTATTGTTCTTCAAATAGAGAAAATTCTTACCACATCTATGTGTAAAGGATGAGACATTCACTATCCTAGATGGAGAAGGGCTGTTCTTCAGGAGTGGTAATAACATTTGAGTCAGAAAGAACGGGCCAACATAATTCGTAGCCATCATCCTGAGAAAATAAGAAGTAATAAAAGTAAGACACGTTGGAAAATATCTTGGAAAAAAAAAACGTGTAAAACAACATAGAAAAACAAATGAACTTCAGAGAGAAGAACCCAATTTCAGTATATGAAGCAATGGTATGTTTTAGGATAATGAAAAAGCTGGACCAAATGGATCATTTTTTTTTTTTTTT